AAAAAAAAAAAAAAAAAAAAAACACTGCAAAGTGTTTTTTGAGCGGCGGAATTTGACTGTTTCTTGCAGAAACGAGAATCTTCTAATTTATTTCTTTTTCTTTTTTTTTAAAGCAAAATAATAAAAGCTGGAATTATTATTCAAAAACTTGCTGATGTTTTAAATATTTCAAACAGAGATCACCAAGAGAAAACTTAATTGACTCTGTGATTAGTTATGAGAAAGCATCTTTTTACTGAAAATTTCAAAAATCTACAACGAAAATATTAAATAATACTGCAAGTGCATTCAAAAACAATTTTCTCCATTTGTAGGTTAATTTTATCGGCTCTGTTTCTTAGCAAAATTTTTCCAGTTATGTAAAACACAGTTATAAATTTTAACATACATTTACAAATATAAATGTTAAACGTGATAGCAGAGAACAGATCTGTGAAAAGATGTGCTTGGTTTACTTCACTGGAATCCAATGCCTTTTTTGTCTCTTGGCTTTCATCTTCAAGGACTTGGCGCAATATGGTACGAGACAGATGTGTCTTTTTGTCAATTCTTAATGCTTGTGTTATAAGCAACATTCAAATGCACTTTAAAGATAGTATCTGCTGAGTGTCTACTGCCATGAATTTGATATCAATTCAGATTCGGTAAGATGGAATAAGATACAGGAGTAGAGCTTTTTCTTCCATTGGCAAATCAGACTGCGTAAGTTTAAAGAACGTGTTCCGATCAGATCAAACAGATATACTAGTACTACTAGCTCTGCAATAGCTTTTTAGTATATTACTATTCTGGTCAAACGGCTTTCTTTAAAGTACAGTCTAAAGACTAAAGAAGTTTTTACTGTTCTGTGGACACTCTGGTCCCTCTCAGGTTATCAAATTATGAGTTAGGCTCTCAGCCTCCTTTGTTAAGAGACTAACGTTTAAGAATAACTAAGACTAAAAGAGTTACTCACGACACCAAAAAAGTATGTCTTAAAAGAATGTGTAAGGTGTTATTATTTCAGCTTTTGATCCTGCTTGTAACAAAATTCTCAACTGGCGACACCACAGTTCATCTTTTCTCTGTATTCAGTCAGGACTACTTTGTCGTAATTTCCCTTGCATCAGACATTAGATTTCAATTCAGTAAAACAATTATGAAAGCCTGATGATTCCTTAATTTCAGTTAGCTTGGCTTTTTGGACATTCAAAATAACAAAGATATCTTTGATAAATTGATTTTATAATCATGCATCAAACTTTGCCAATAAATATTTAATTAAATTTAGTTATTTTCAATTTAGCAGCATGCGAAAGGTAAGATTATTTATTTAGTCTGTGCTATTCATTCTGAAGACGACCTGCGTGGGAAAATAACATCAGGGAAAGGTGTTTGATGGTAGCTATATAATATAATATCAAGAGAATAACCTTTTGATAACCTTGGATCCAAACAGCGGGAAGCGGGGACAACACAATAAGCTACTTTCGATATATTAAAATTAAGGTAATAGCGAGGCCTTGAGGCACGGACAAGAGAAATGAATAGACATGCTAATTCAATTTCCTTTGTTTGTGTCCTGTAGGGATCACTACCAATCTATTCTCCGTAGAACAAAAACATGTCGACTGGTACATTTACCCATAAAGCTTAGCGCAAGAAAACAGTGACAATGCTCATAAATACGTACAGGGAAATTGTAAAACCTTCAAACCTACCATGCACAGAGTTGTAAGTGCAAGTACAGATATTGCAAAAAAAAAAACAAAACAAAAAAAACAAAAAAAAGCCTTCCTTGTGCTTAAAGACTGTTTTAGGGTCCTCTAGGTAATGTGATAAAATGTACAGCCGCTATTTTTTTTGTTAAGAAGGATTAAAAAGCCTCTAGACTAGTTCTTACTTGAGTGTCAAAAACAATCTCGTTTCCAGAGTCTTCGTTCCCCTTGACCAGCGGTCGGAAAACGAGAGCTCTGGGAGCAACCATTTTGAAATAACAAAGGAAATAACCGAATTCTGGCCATCCGGTTTCACTGCGCAGTCTGCATCTATGGCGCATGCCTGAAATGGTTGCTCCTAGAGCTCTCTTTTTCCGACCGCTGGTCAAGGGGAACGAAGACTCTGGGAAGGAGATTGGTGTCAAAAAGTAATTGCTGGCTCAAAATACTTGCACCTCTTTTTGCCTTCAAATAAGGGAAATCCAAAACAAATCGTGACTCATGGCTGGGGCTTGGCTTGAAGTTAAAACGTACTCAACGTCCTGAGCTCTTTGTAGATCTGTCCCCTAACGGATTATTGGTATATAGTTTTACTCCTCTTATTTCCTTTGCTTGATCATGACTACTCAGTCCTTACTAGGAACCTCGCCTTACGGTCACCCCGTTCATACAGCCACCTCGTTATAACGCTCACTTGACTTTGACGCGAACAAAAACTCAGTCAATCATTTCCTTATTTAAAATACCCCTTCATTACGGCCAGATGGCCTGTTGTTGACCGCATTATCAGGGTTCCACTGTAATGACGTTTAAATGAAATTTCCTTCTTGACAGATGACAGCCGGATTTTGAGATTCCAGCCTGCTTTGGAAGGATATCCTCTTCAAGGTCATTGCTAAAAACCTTTAAATTGCAGAGAGAAAGCATGTGTGAAGTAAGATGCTTTAAAGAAAATTATTGCGTGCCTTACAATCTTGGTTCTTGGGATGGAGACGGAGCTTACAGATGTGAATTGAGTAATTCTGATCATGATACACACCCTGAGGCACTCTTGCGTCAAAAAGACGTCACTTACAGACCTACTGAGGTAAGTTTGGTGTTGTAAGGTATAGATAGTTTTCACGTGACGTCATCACTTTCTACAATCCAAAACTAAAGAGCCAACAAAGTTTTTATCCTCATCAGGCATAAGAGACGGTAAATTTATATCTGTTTACAATTTTACAGCACAATAGCGTGCTTCCTTTGGAATCCAGAACATTTTGAATTTCAGGGTTACGGAGGTGCGTGACAAAAGGCTATGATCGAGTTTGTCGAAAAATATACACTTATCCCATGATTTTGAGCCTTTTTAGAAGTTAGAGCATTAGGAAAAGTGCTTATGTAAATGCTTGTTTGATCAGTACTGATAATCAGTCGCCTAGNTTATTTAGTTATCTTCTATAACATCATAATTTCATAGCTTTTTCCACTGGATGGTTTTCGATTTATTTTTTTATTGCGCGACAGTGAAAACGATCTATTGTACCAACCTTCTTTAAAGTCTTAACCATGTCAAAGTAAAATCATATTGCGTGGGAGCAACGTGGTTGATGAAAGGGAGAGTGCAAATTTCAACTCCTTTCACCTAAATAAAGGAAAATTGACTTGATATCGTTGTAACGCTTTTGTCGATTAACATAGCGTACATTAGCTATTCGAGAATGATTAGAGTTATTACATTTAAAACGTTTTTGGATTCTCATTTTGCTTCAATTTAGAACGCCTGTTCAAACCATCCCTGCTCTCCAAATCAACTACGTCAAAATGGATTCACCGATAAAGGGTATCGATGTATAAGCAACACAAAAGAACCCACAGGTACCTTAGAATAACGTTTCAAAGTGGCATAAATACCTCTTACTAATCGAGTTCGAGGTCCGTACTGTAAGTTACGGACCGAATTTTTTCCCGTTGGATTTATGGCCCAAGCGCGAAGCGCGCCGGTCATAAATCGAAGGGGAAAAAACGAGGATCCGTAACTTACAGTAAGGACCGAGAAGACGAGATTATTAAGATATTTATTATATCTCTACTGTGTGCCTGACGGGTTCGGGAACGATTTCTATTTACGCGGACTCGGAAAGGCTTCAAATTTCTGACGCACCTCGAAAGCAAAACGAGTCAGTTTGAAATTGTTTTTTAGTCGCTAGCACGCTTTATTACATAATTTAGAGTATAAGAAAGTTCTAAACTTTCACTTGCTGTAAAAGTTAAGAACACTTATCGATAAATCACGAAACAGTTTGGCAACAAAACCAACTTTAAATTTTAACGGGCCGTACAGGAGAGTACGGCCCGCTAAACTGACCAATCACAGCGCGCGCACTAACTAAGAGATATAATAAGGTCATATACTTTGTTCAGGGGCGTAGCCAGAATTTTTCTTAAAGGGAGGCTCGCACTGCGTCAAAGTGAGGGTACTCAGCAGATTGTCATGCCGCTTTCGCCACCTGTTGTAGGTCGTTTGCTATAAAAAGGCCTCTAAAAGTGGCGGAGGGAAGGGGTGTGGTCACGGGAACCCCAGGACCCTCTTAGCTACGCCCCTGCACTCATCATAGGAATTACAACAATTATTAATTACGTTTTTATGTTTTGCCGTTATGTCATTGTGCAAGAGTTGTTTAAACAAATTCATCAACAAGTCGTCTTGTTGAAAGTTTTTGCTGCTTTGGCCACTGCACACATTTTACAATAAAGTGTGTAATAATGTATGTAATCTTTACTGATTCCATGGTAATAGATGTCCAACGGTAGCAATTAAATGAAAGAATGAAAGATGCGAATGCAGCTATGACACTACTGGAAAAATGACCTAAAAAAATTTTTCCAGGTCATTTTTCCAGTAGTGTCATGGCTGCATTCGCATCTTTCATTCTTTCTTTACTGATTGTTGAATGGTTTAACATGACGTTTATTTTAGCCACCCCTAAGGTTACTTGCACAGTGTTATAACCAATTCATAGATGTGGATCGCTTTGTTCTTAACCTGACCTTTTGGTTAAAATGAATATGCTGACTATGCGGGTCTCCAAATTTCTTCTTCCAGTGGTCCCAAGTTCAGCTCCAAGCTCAGCCAAGAGTTCCAGCTCAACAAATAACATTAAATTGTGTCGTCTTCTCTACAAATTTAAAATTAACAATGCCAGTTCCGTCAAGGATTATCATAAAGCTCTTCCTGACATATCACAGCGTATTAGAATACGACTATTTATAGCTAATCGTACCTTTTTGGTACGCTTCAGCGGCAAATCAGGCGAGTTTGGTCGAGCCATGGTTTGTATCTTGGTGAGACGTATAGTTGAGGCAAAATTCCATGGCGAGACCAAACGAGCCTCCTATGCCGCTGAGGCGTATCAAAAAAGGTACGATTAGATATTTGCCGTACCCAAATTCGGCTAGGTGAGCATGATATCAGAGCCATAACAGGCCAGTGACCCAATATCGCAGGATATTAGGACAGTAGACAAGGCTTTTGATTGGCTAATTGCGAATTTAGGTACGGTAATTATGCAAGCTATCCCAAATAGATTAACCTAATATTGCATAAAAGTGTATCTCTTGTTGTTCCAACTTGCTAGGTTGCATACAGCGTATTCTGCTCATGATTACTGCTGATTTCGGTTTTCGTTGTGTTGTGGTATTGTTGCTATTGTTATCGTTTTCGCTGCCTTGCCTTTACTCCTCTACATGTATAGCTGTGAGTACCTCCGAACAGACTGCTCGGATCAGCCTGATAGCATGCTACGAGCAAACTTAAAGTAACAATATTAAAAGTCTCATAATTAAGCTAATTTCTGAGAAAAACGTCAGATTTTTGAGAAAAAAAAAAAAAAAAAAAAACGTCGCTTGCACCTGTTCCTCAGTATGCTTATGCCTTATTATTTACTTTCTCAGTGGTTTCAACATCCACTCCAAGTGAGCCAACGAGTTCCACTCCACCCATTCAAGGTAACATTCAATTGGCAATTAAATTTCCCTGCTTCTTATTTTTTTCGTATTTTCATTCTTAATTCACTAAAAGCAATTAATAAAATTTGAAAACTGACACGAATTGTTATGATCTTACTATACGATCACTAAGTTGACGCACAATACTTTGTGACATGGAGAGTTCCATGCTAAATGAGGGAAATACCTTTCTCTCTGTTTCTCGTGAGAAGATATTTTCCGGGACGAGTCATTACTTGCAAATTCAAAGAGTGCTGAACGTTATACAAAGAATTCAGTCTAGCGTTGATTAACTTTATAGTGAATTCATTTTCTTGAATACATAAATTCCTTTGCCATTTTACATCTCACGTTTAACAGAAGCTGTTTCGGCATCGTGTACATGATGCCACGTCCTGCTCACATTAACCGAATTAAGCACTCTTTCGACAAGCACACCCTTGTTACTGTTGCAAGTGCATTGGTTTTTAGCAGCGTGCTTTACTGGTCAACTGTTTGGAGTAAAACCTCTCAAACAAGCTTAAGCAAGTTAAAGGCAGTCTAAAACTTGGCCTGTCGTATTGTTAATGGAAAAAGGAAATTTGACCACATATCTTCAGTCTTAAAGGAATTGCGCTGGTTGCCATGCAGTAAACGAGCTACTCTTCTATTTAGATGCGATAATGGCATTCAAATGCATTACGGGACGTGCCCCTAGATACTCCGAACAGTTCATTAGGCGATGTGACTTAAAAGTCTGCAGAACAAGGAATTCTCCAACGCTGAAAATCTTTTTAGTGCCGGCCAAAACTCACTTGTTTACAGAGCAGTCGCCTTGTGGAATTCTTTATCAAACGATCTTGAACTTTGTAAATTATTGAACCATTTTAAACGTTGCCTTAAGTTAAGCCTCTTAAGTTATATTAGTCACTCTACTTGATCAGTCGAACCACCCTATTTGCAATTGTTTTTGTATCTTGTATTCATTCAGTTTAATAGTTTTCACAATTGTAGTTTTTATTCTAGACGTATATATAGATCACCGCTTTTATTGTATCTTGTAGTAATTCATTGAATTTGATGGTTTTTAAGTTTTTCACTCCTCAGTTGCTCCTTCAATAAGAGTGAATTCCCAAAGCACCACTGTCGAGGAAGGAGGGAACGTGATATTCACCTACACTGCAACAGGTTAACCACAGCCTGTGATCACGTGGAACAAGTCTGAAGGATTCCTATCCCAATCAAGGACCATGATACGTGATGCAGAGCTCACTATTCTGAATGTGAGTGCAGATGACAGTGGGTTGTACGCGTTTCTACTGGTACAAACGCGTTAGGAGCTAATTCATAAGCTGTGGAGCTAAACGTCGTAAAACTGTCAACTGACGTGTCATGGTCTTTGATCGTTTACATTGGCCAAAACAACAGAGTTCTTTGTCCTGTCCCAACAAATCTGCACTCAATCGTCCAGTGGATGTATAACAAAACTCCAACTCTCGCAGATGAATCCAAAGCCTAAAAAATAACATCTGCTAAACTAGACCACGGTGGAAATTATACTTGTGTCGTGCAGGACTCGAGTAGCTCGGGAACTTGGACATCCGCAAGAGTTATTGTCCATATAAGGTATCCTGAGACATGCAGCAGTGTGAAAACAAATGTAGCTTACGTCAGTGGTCATTACGTCATCGATTCTGATGGTTTCGGGAGTACGGCTCCGTTTGATGTCTACTGTAACATCACCGACAAAGGAGGCATTGTAGTGACAACTGTCAGTCATGAAAAAGAAAACAGAACCCATGGGGACGGTTGCGACGAGGAAGGATGCTACAAACGCGACGTGACATACATGGGAGCCAGTCTCTCCCAGCTAACAGCTCTAACAGATGCGTCTTTACATTGTGAGCAGTTTATCAGCTATGAATGTTTTAATGCCAAGCTCCTTCGTCATCGGAAGGGCTGGCGGGTGTCACGTAATGGCGTAAAAATGAAATATTGGGGTGGCGCTGAAAATAAGGAAGGTTAATGTGCGTGTGGCGTTACACAAACCTGTGTAGACGAAAGCTGGAAATGCAACTGCGATGCAATTGAAAAAAGTTTGGCGTGAAGATAGGTGAGGAACGGACAAAACTCACCTTCCAGTGTCCCAGTTAAGGTTTGGAGACACAGCAGGCATATTGGAGGAAGGATATTACATTCTAGGCAAGCTGAAATGCTACGGTACAGCGTGAATATGGTTTTGTTGCCACAGAAACAAGACGGTGGTGTTTTGGCTTTGGGGTGAACTACTTATATGGTTGCGGTACTATCCAGTTAGAGTTTCTTTCAAGAACGTTACGCTTATCTCTTAGAATGCCAATTTCAATTTGCAATTTAAAGCATCTTCTTTCACCGCGGGACGGAACCAGTGAACACATGTTGTTCATATATCTCGAAATTGATCGTCACAAGCACAATACAAATTTAAAATGAATCAAACATTGACTGTTTTGACGCTCACTAAGTAGTGTGCAAAACTGCACATTTATTTTTCCCGTGTTGAGCTGTATTGAACACCTGGCCGCAAAATCTCCGCCAAAATGTAGGTCATCAGGAGTAGTCGAATTTTTAACAGAAACTTGTTATTCAGTCGATGAAGTCAGGAAATTGTCAGTTATGTTAAAGGATATAAAAAAGAAGACACCTCTCAAAGTTTTAAGTCTTTGCGATTTCCCAAACTTCAGATATTCGTCACAGGGAACCCGAACACTATATCAGCAGTAAAAATAAATGTACTGTTAATTACTTGTGTTCCTGTGTCTTTTTGAGTTCGCCGGCTTTCATAACCAGTCTTCTTTACTAACTATGATTCAGCCTATGAAATTTCCAAATTTGTCTTTCTACATATGGGAGGAGACTTCTAGACAATATCGTATAGGATACTGTACATCCAAAGTTAGCATCACAAAAATAGGTCACATGCAGTTGCATTGTACTGGGCAAATAGCAAAGCTAAACTTAAATCGGGTATATCGTCATCAATCTTTGAAAATACCTTGTTGATCTCTAATGATAAGCAAATAAAGTTGCCTTTTCATACTAACGTAAGCGATAAATATATGTAATCTGTAGATACATCGGCTTTTCTGTGGTCAGTTGCCATGTAATAATTAATTTTATATGTACAGAAATCACCAATGTCTTTCTGTATCTATTGTTTTTCGCCTCATTACTTTTATATCATAAAGCAAATGAAGAATCCTAAGCCGTGTATTACACTGTGATAAAACACAACAAGCGTTTCGTACAATATTATAACCATTTGCGATACACTTGGATTCACTTTACCTATACAATAACCTTTTCTACTGTATATTGTGCAATATAGCTATGCATTTGCCGAATATTTTTTTGAGATCATGTTATCTAAAGAAGGGATACATTCATTTGCATAATATAGTTAAGAGAGTTGATAGCAGCTCACGATATTTCAGAGTATAAACCCACTGATTCACCTGAACGTCAGGTCCATTAAACTAGGGATAAAATACCTTTCTTTGATGTTCAAAATAGCTATAGGTAACAGGGCATGTTTAGCTTCTATAGATCAACCTAATTGTTGCGTCAGTTAAAGAAAGAAACGTCAAACGACTGTGGGCCAGAAAATTCGATTACAGCTATAATGTTAAAACAATATCGAGTTGATAAACGCTCGACGCGGATTTATCAGGGCCACTGAAACTAATATTACCTCACGATATCGGCTACATCCTATTCAATGAGGAAACTTGTGTCTCCTACGCATTGTATTGACAAAAGTGGCTTATATGGCTGCCCAAGGGGATTGACAGCTTAGTTTTGAAGAAGTACTCTTATTATATGGCTAGCCCAGTGAGCAGGCAAGTTGAACCAGATGATACACTGTCATTGGCTACCAAAGTGGACAAGATGAACCAAAGCCTGCGCTGTAATTGGCTTCCCGAGCGGGCAAGTTGACGCTAACTTGAATTGCCCACTCGAGACTACCCGCTGTGTACCGGAAGGAAAAATTTCCCAAAAAGCCATATAGTAAATCCTTTATTAGCCAAGCTTGCTCGGTCAAGATGACTGGATATTAGCCTCGGCCTTTTTTTTTTTTTTTGCGTTTATGGACCTTGACTCCGTCTCGGTAAATAAAAAGGAAAAGGAACTTGGGCGATATCCAGCCATCTTGACATCACGCTTGGTCAATAACCCATATTTATGTTCCTAAGTTTAGCTCTCTCGCGAACTTGGAAAATATCACTGAGGCTTGAATTTTCAAGCGAAAAAACTGAGACATCAACTCGGGTGTTATTCAACTTTGGAGACGACGATCAGAGTTTAAGAATGTGGCTGAGCGCATTACTGCTGCTAGCAGCTAGCGTCGGCTTGAAGGGTATCTATTTGACTGGTCGTTTTGGGTGAGAAACGTACTTTAGAAGCAGCTATATAGCTTAAACTTATTGCTGTTTCTTGTTTTTATCTCCTCCTAGTTTCCACAGGAATAAAAAGAGGTAAGCCAAAATAACTTAGGATTGTATCACTACATTTAAACTGCAAAAAATGAGAAATTTATGCATCGTATAATGAACGGACCCAGACGATTCTTGCATCTTGTTTCTTATATTTATAGAAAGTCGAAAGGACATAGAGGGTAAGTTGGACACATCGACTTATGTTGAATAAAACAAGAAGAGCAAGTGGTCCAACCATTACGTTTGCTCTCTGTTCACTTCGAATTGTTGAGTGTCCTTTTATTTACCTATATGCTAAGAATGCAAATGTGGAAAATCTGGTTAAGAAACATAAGCGTCTTCTTCATTGACGTCTATCAAGGTACTATTTCACGTGCAAAGGGGTCACTCGATCACAACTCGCCTCTTTTGATTCATAATGCTAAGCTTTTGAAAAAAATGCATATTAAACTGTTGTTATATTGGTTAAAGGGTTGATTGCGTCGCCGTGTCAAGGCTTGCCCCAGACCTGCCTCCTTCCTAAAGTTACAGGCGTTTGTAGAGCCGCCTTTCTTAGATATTACTTTGACAAGGTCAGCGGTCGGTGCAAGACGTTCATTTATGGCGGTTGCCAGAGAAACCAAAACAATTTCCGGAATCTGAAAGACTGCCTGAGGAAATGTGCAAGTACGTCTGATGTGCATTAGTTGTGCAGTAATTATACCTAGAGTCAGCTACATATATATAGAGAATAACCCACCGATTTCATCTTCGTATAATGTACATAGGCTACATCACTCGGCCCAGATCATCCCCGGTTGCCACCATTTTGCAATTAGGAGTAAACGGGTATTGCTAATTACCAGAGGCATTTGTTGAGAAATCTTTATACAATGAAGTCTGGAGCTCCGTGGTTGATCTAGATAGGCATTGAAATTTAATGTAAAATGATCTTTAATTCTGACTTTTTGGGGGGCTCCAACGATGTCTAGCCAATTGAAACAGGTTTACTGTATATAGTTTATAACTCTGAAAAAAAAAATAAAAAAATAAAAATAAGAATCTCGCTTGATTTACATAGAACTTTGAAAACAACTTCTTTTAGAAAACTGTCCTAGTGGAGGAAAGCGACCAGGTGGCGGAAGGAGACCCCGTGGGGGACGAAGACCTGGTGGGGGACGAAGACCCAGTGGAAGAGTCAAACAGGCGGTAAACGCCTTTAACGACGTTCGCTTGCAGGACAGGAACCCTTCGGAGTCGGCGCCCACTTCGGCCAATTTGATTTGGTTTTGTCGTTTGTAAGAAGACAACCCTGTTTTGACTCGCTTTCAGTTCAAAAGTTAGGTAAGCATTAATTGGGATCCCTTCACCTAAAACGCGAGTGCGGCGCATCTCTAAATGCGCGAGAACTTACGAGAGAAAAGAAGTTCATATGGGGGAGAATCTCTCACCCAAGCTCTGTCCAAATCGCTATACTTCCACAAGTAAAATACACGTGTGTAGATTTGGGAGAGGGCTAAAAGTAGCATCTTTAAAAAGTTAGGTAAGCATTGGTTGGAATCCCTGCACCTGAAACTTGAGTGTGGCGCATCTCTAAATGCGCAAAAACTTACAAGAGAAAAGAAAGTTGATAAGGGCGARAATCTCTCACCCAAGCACTGTCCAAATCAATGGACTTCCACAAGTAAAATACACGTGTGTAGATTTGGGGAGGGCTAAAAGTAGCATCTTTAAAAAGTTAGGTAAGCATTGGTTGGGATCCCTGCACCTAAAACGCGAGTGCGGCGCATCTCTAAATGCGCGAGAACTTACGAGAGAAAAGTAACTTGATATGGGCGAGAATCTCTCACAGAAGCACTGTCCAAATCAGTAGATTTCCACAAGTGAAATACACGTGAGTAGATTTGAGAGAGGGCTAAAAGTAACATCTTTAAAAGGTTAGGTAAGCATTGGTTGGAATCCCTGCACCTAAAACGCGAGTGCGGCGCACCTCTAGATGCGGGAGAACTAACGAGGGAAAAGAAAGTTAATAGGGGCGAGAAAATCTCACCTCAGCACTGTCCAAATCAATAGGCTTCCACAATTAAAATACACGTATGTAGATTTGGGGGAGGGCTAAAAGTAGCATCTTTAAAAAGTTAGGTAAGCATTGCTTGGGATCCTTGCACCTAAAACGCGAGTGCAGCGTATCTCTAGATGCGAGAGAACTAGCGAGAGAAAAGAAAGTTATTAGGGACGAAAAAATCTCACCTCAGCACTGTCCAAATCGATAGACTTCCACAAGTAAAATACACGTAGGTAGATTTAAGGGTGCGCTAGAAGTAGCATCTTTGAAAAGTTAGGTAAGAATTGGTTGGCGGGTCTCTAAACGCGCGAGAACTTAGGAGAGAAAAGAAAGTTGATATGTGCGAGAATGTCCAACCAAAACAGTGTGCAAATCGATAGTTTTCCACAAGTAAAATACACGTGTGTAGATTTGAGGGAGGGCTAAAAGTAGCATCTTTAAAAGTTAGGTAAGCATTGGTTGGAATCCCTGCACCTAAAACGCGAGTGCGGCGCATTTCTAAATGCGCGAGAACTAACGCGAGAACAGAAAGTTGATAGGGGCGAGAAAATCGCACCTAAGCACTGTCCAAATCAATAGACTTCCACAAGTAAAATACGCGTGTGTAAATTTAAAGGAGGGCTAAATGTAGCATCTTCAAAAAGTTAGGTAAGCATTGATTGGGATCCGCATACCTAAAACGAGAGTGCGGCGCATCTCTAAATGCGCGAAGACTAACGAGAGAAAAGAGAGTTAATAGGGGCGAGAAAATCTCAACTAAGCACTGTCCAAATCGATAGACTTCTACAAGTGAAATAAACGTGTGTAGATTTGGGAGAGGGCTAAAAGTAGCATCTTTAAAAAGTTAGGTAAGCATTAGTTATGATCCCTGCCCCTAAAACGCGAGAATGGCGTATCTCTAAACATGCAAGATCTTACGAGAGAAAAGAAAGTTGATTTGGCCGGGAATCTCTTACCCAAGCACTGTCCAAATCGACAGACTTCCACAAGTGAAATACACGTATATAGATTTGGGAGAGGGCTAAGAGTAACATCTTTAAAGAGTTAGGTAAGCATTGGTTAAGATTCGTTCACCTAAAACGCGAGTGCGGCGCATTTCTAAATGCGGGAGAACTAACGAGAGAAAAGAAACTTGATAGGGGCGTGAAAATCTTACCTAAGCACTATCCATATCGATAGACTTCCACAAGTAAAATACACGTGTGTAGATTTATGGAAAGGCTAAAAGTAGCATCTTAAAAAAGTTAGGTAAGCATTGGTTGGGATCCCTGCACCTTAAAGTTGAGTGTGGCGCTTCTCTAATCGCGTGAGAACTTATGAGAGAAAAGAAAGTTGATATGGGCGAGAATGTCCAACCCAAACACTGTGCAAAGCGATAGTTTTCCATAAGTGAAATACACGTGTGTAGATTCGGGGGAGGGAGGGCTAAAAGTAGCATCTTTAAAAAGTTAGGTAAGCATTGGTTGGGATTCCTGCACCTGAAACTTGAGTGTGGCGCAATTTTAAACGCGCCAGAAGTTACAAGAGTAAAGAAAGTTGATATGGGCGAGAATCTCTCACCCACACACTGTCCAAATCGATAGTTTTCCACAAGTGAAATACACGTGTGTAGATTTGGAGGAGGTCTAAAAGTAGCATCTTTAAAAAGTTACGTAGGCTTTGATTGGGGGTTCCCGCACCTGAAACTTAAGCGTGGCGCATCTCTAAATGCGCGAGAGCTTACGAGGGAAAAGAAAGTTGACATGGGCGAGAATGTCCAAGACAAACACTGTGCAAATCGATAGTTTTCCACAAGTGAAATATACGTATGTAGAGTTGGGGGAGGTCTAAAAGTATCATCTTTAAAAAGTTAGGGAAGCATTGGTTGGGTCCCTGCACCTGAAACTTGAGTGTGGCGCATCTGTAACCGCGCCAGAAGTTACGAGGGTAAAGAAAGTTGATATGGGCGAGAATCTCTCACCCAAGCACTGTCCAAATCGATAGACTTCCGTAAGTGGAATGCACGTGTGTAGATTTGGGAGAGGGCTAAAAGTAGCATCTTTAAAAAGTTAGGTAGGCATTGGTTGGGGTTCCCGCACCTGAAACTTGAGTGTGGCGCATCTCTAAACGTGCGAGAGCTTACTAGAGAAAAAAAAGTTTACACGGGCGAGAATATCCAACCCAAACACTGTGCAAATCGATAGTTTTCCACAAGTGAAATACACGTGTGTAGATTTGGGGGAGGTCTAAAAGTAGCATCTCTAAAAGGTTAGGTAAGCATTGGTTGAGAACCCGGCACCTAATACGTGAGTGTGGCGCATGTCTAAACGCGCTAGAATTTACGAGAGAAAAGAAAGTTGATATGGGCGAGAATCTCTCACCCAAGCACTGTCCAAATCGGTAGACTTCTACAAGTGAAATACACGTGTGCAGATTTGGGGGAGGTTTAAAAGTAGCATCTTTAAAAGCTGGGTAAGCATTGGTTGGGAGCCCTGCCCGTAAAACGTGAGTGTAGCGCATCTCTAAATGCGCAAGAACTGATAAGAGAAAAGAAAGTTGATAGGGGCGAGAATTTCTCACCCAAGCACTGTCCAAATCGATAGACTTCCACAAGTGAAATACACGTGTGTAACTTTGGGGGAGGTTTAAAAGTAGCATCTTTAAAAAGTTAGTTAAGCATTGGTTGGGATTCCTGCACCTAAAACGCGAGTTCGGCGCATCTCTAAATGTACGACATTTAACAAGAAAAAAGAAAGTTGATAGGGGCGAAAAAATCTCACCTAAGCACTGTCCAAATCAATAGACTTTTACAAGTAAAATACACGTGTGTAGATTTGGGGGAGGGCTAAAAGTAGCATCTTTAAAAAGTTAGGTAAGCATTGGTTGGGGTCCCTGCACCTAAAACAGTAGTACGGCGCACCTCTAGATGCAGAAGAACTAACGAGAGAAAAGAAAGTTAATAGGGGCGAGAAAATCTCACCTAAGCACTGTCCAAATCAATAGACTTCCACAAGTAAAATACACGTGTGTAGATTTGGGGAAGGGCTAAAGGTAGCATTTTCAAAAAGTTAGGCAAGCATTGGTTGGGATCCCTGCACCTAAAACGCGAGTGCGGCGCATCTCTAAATGCGCGAGAACTAACAAGATAAAAGAAAGTTGAAAGAGGCGAGAAAATCTCACCTAAGCACTGTTCAAATCAATAGACTTCCACAAGTGAAATACACGTAGGTAGATTTGGGGGTGCGCTAAAAGTAGCATCTTTAAAAAGTTAGGTAAGCCGTGGCTGGGATCCCTGCACCTAAAACGCGAGAGTGGCGCATCTCTAAACGCGCGAAAACTTATGAGAGAAAAGAAAGTTGACATAGGCGAGAATGTCCAATGAAAACAATGTGCAAATCGATAGTTTTCCACAAGTGAGATACACGCGTGTAAATTTGGGAGAGGGCTAAAAGTAGCATCTTTAAAAAGTTGGGTAAGCATTGGTTGGGAACCCTTCACTTAAAACGCGAGTGCGGCGCATTTCTAAATGCGCGAGAACTTACGAGAGGAAAGAAAGTTTTTAGGGGCGAGAATCTTTCACCGAAGCACTGTCCAAATCGATAGACTTCCACAAGTGAAATACACGTGAGTAGATTTGGGAGAGGGCTCAAAGTAACATCTTTAAAAAGTTAGGTAAGCATTGGTTGGAATCCCTTCACCTGAAACTTGAGTGTGGCGCATCTCTAAACGCGCGAGAAGTGACGAAAAAAAGAAAGTTGATAGGAGCGAGAATGTCTCACCCAAGCACTGTCCAAATCGATGGTTTTTCACAAGTGAAATACACGCGTGTAGATTTTGGGGAGGGCTAAAAGTAGCATCTTTAAAATGTTAGGTAAGCACTGTTTGGGATCCACGCGCCTAAAACGCGAGCGCGGCGTATCTCTAAATGCGGGAGAACTAACGAGAGAAAAGAAAGTTAATAGGGACGAGAAAATCCCACCTAAGCACCGTCCAGATCGAAAGACTTCCACAAGTAAAATACACGTGTGGAGATTTGGGAGAGGCCTAAAAGGAGCATCTTTAAAAAGTTAGGTAAGCATTGCCTGGGATTCTCGCACCTAAAACTCGAGAGTGGCTGGTCTCTAAACGCGCGAGAACTTTACGAGAGAAAAGAAAGTTGATATGGGCGAGAAGCTCCAACCCAAACAGTGTGCAAATCGATAGT